GATCAAAAAAATAAAGTCTATTTGTACAGCACCATATTCCCTGACCTCTTAACTCAGCATTTCAACTCAGGGCAGCAAATAACATAAAATCCCATTTTGATTTTATTTGATTATGTAAATATTTCTATACTTTCGGCATATCCCCTAACTATGATGATGTACAACACACTGCTCTCGAAACCAGGACCTTATTCATCTTACCGATCCTCGCGAGGCTGCCTTAGCTTTGCCACGTAGATCAACTCCTCGATTTCATAAGAATTTAGTAAACAGTATCAGAAAAAGGAAATCCTCCATTTCTCAGATCTGCCGTTCACGGGCAGAGCAGCACCTTACTGTCATTTATCAAACTAAATGCAGTAACGTGAGAGACTAGGGAAACAGAAACATTCGGACCGAGATAGTCTGCTCAACAAGGCAGAGGAGGAGTCATAATTTCATCAAGAGAGAGGGAGCTGTTTTTAACATCAAAAAATATTTTACCTATAGTAACATAATTCCAATGACAGAGCACGAATTGAAATAGAAACCTGTCTTACAAGAACGGTTAACTTCACTACAAAATTTCATCTCACAAGAACATCACTTGTACAACAAGGTTTCTACAGAACAAAATCGCAATTTTCAAAGTCTGTTAAAGAGCATCCATGGAAGCAATTTAATATTCAGTTTTAGTCATCAACCCACACCAAGTTTTAAGGACTAGCTTCATGAACTTGAGACGTAGCAACAAGAGAATCACGACGACGATTAAAAACATCATCGCCAACACCAGCCTAAGGACGAACCAGCAACGTGCCCACCCCGTTTACGCTGCGCAACGCAAGCCTGACTGTCCAGCCCACTCACATCCTCCCTTTGTTAGAGAGTCAAAGGGAGCGGATAATTAAAGCCGTGTCTGCCAGCTGTCCTCCCTGGTCAAACACACCCACTGTTCTACCCAGAGACGGCTGCCACTGGTCAACCTTGGGCTACACACAAACGACTTCCCTGCCCTTGCTTTTTGCTCTTTAAACGGTTCTAGCGCATGTAAAAGGCTTTTTCCTAAAGAAAGCAATGAGATTTCCCTCACTGCGGCCAATACAACTAATTGCTGTGCCTGCACTGGAATCACGGCTTTAACGCAACAACAAAAAAAAATGAAGGATTCGCTTCTACCACCACGCGTTACACCAGAGCAACCGCATTCAACCTGCCGAGCACCTCACAGCGACACCTTCGCCTTGCAGCACATAAAACTGCTTTGTCTTTGACTACAGCTAACAAAGAAACACACGTGGTTTCAGGTATAGTACCTGACGTTACTTTCTCTTCTCGCTTCAAATAAATTGCTTCGAAGGTTAGACTCCCACTTTAAAGTTAACGGCACAACTGAATTAGACATTTCAAGACAAAGCCATGGTTTCTCCCCACTTCTGTCACAGGAAAAGTAATAAAGAGAACAGACAGTAAAGATAACCGCACCTCTTCACTCCCAAAACACAAAAAGTAACACAAAGAACTCCACCTTAATACAAGCCCAAAATAAAATGCTTGTAGAAACAGCATCTTTTTTGTAGGTACACACTAAAATGTATTCCTTTTTAGAGCTTCTGTGCCTACCTTTCTCACGCAGCAGCAAGAAAGCCTTCAGCCACGGATGAAAGCCTTCAGCCACGGATGAAAGCCTTCAGCCACGGATGAAGGCTGCGTAACAAATACAGAGACCCAGCTCCAGCAATTTCGCTTCAGTTCCTACACATGAGCCCCAGTGACCAGTAAGACTGAACTGGGTTAGCATGTGCTTTACAAATCCATTCTGGAAGCGCTTTCTCTGCTCTGCAATAATATTAACATCGCGGGAGATTCTCAGCCGTTGGTTTAGCAGACAAGAATGTGCTCTCAGGACATCAAAAGACAATTTTCAGGACTGTTTTCACAAAGGATGCGCCAAGGTTAAGACGAGTAGATTAAAAAAATTAAATAGCAAGAGACGGAAGCGAAGAAACTTTTCAAACATGAAGCTACAGCTACGCTTCCTAACATTACTATCAAAAGCACAAGAAAAGTTGTTTAACTGTTTGCATCCACAGAAAGAGCGATAAGTCAGAAATATAAGGGGAAAAAAAGAAAAGAAAAAAGCTCAAGTCACACTTAACATTTACCAGATGTTCTTTTATTAAACATACAGTTTCTATTGCGAGTAAGAAGGAAGCCGCTTACCTGACACAAATATATCTTATGCAAGTTCCACTCCTCTCCCAGAGCACAAATTTTGATATCGCTGTTCTCCCCATTCAAAAACAGAGTCTGATAAATATACTTAGAAGTGCTTTTCAGTTTTTTCCTATACAAAAAGGCAAACAGAGACACACTCCTTCAATTTTTTCTGTTACAGAAACAACGCCAGTGATAAAGTATTGGGCAGGGTTTTTTCCTGCCCGTAAGGGACTGACCGCCCTCCCTGCCGTCGCCCCCACGACTTCCCTGCCACCTTCCCCTCCCATTTACTGCAGCTGCTGCCGGGACCTTTCCAAGGCAGACGAGGAGCTCAGCCCTGCCAACAGAGACACACTCCTTCAATTTTTTCTGTTACAGAAACAACGCCAGTGATAAAGTATTGGGCAGGGTTTTTTCCTGCCCGTAAGGGACTGACCGCCCTCCCTGCCGTCGCCCCCACGACTTCCCTGCCACCTTCCCCTCCCATTTACTGCAGCTGCTGCCGGGACCTTTCCAAGGCAGACGAGGAGCTCAGCCCTGCCCCCGGCAGCCCCCG